TTCTGAGTGGCTTGACTAGTCAATACTTCGATTTGGCCTCTTATGACTAGGTCTCGTCCGGGGGTCTTGGTTCGTAGAATGTATTTTTTTGGCCCTCGGAGTTCGTCTAGCCACTCGAGAGCGCGGCAGCACTCAGCTCTCTTGATTCCCTCAATCAGCTCGTCTACGACTTCTTCGGCTCTTGCCCGATGGATCCAATTTCGAAGCACGGCCTTTGCCGCTGCTTCGTTTTTTGCATCCTTGATGGCCCTCCAGGTCCATTCGGTGTCGAATGGCTTGAGCCACGTGGTGGGACTCTCTGTCCCTGTTCGGCCCGTAGGCGTTTGAGTTTTGTTTTGCGACTCTTCCAGGTGTGGTTTAACAGTTCGGGGTATATTCGAATGCGTTGTAACTACAGAAGTATCATAAGTTCATACAGTGGTAGGGGTTCGCACACCATGAAGTCCTTTGGCCGAGTCAGTGGAGTCGCTCACTGATCGGCCTTGTCTTTTACCTCCTCGATCTTCGTCTCCTTCCCAAGTTCTTCGTCTTCTTTCTGCAATTCGGCGATTTGTGCTCTGATGTCCTCGCGGGTTCGCTTCTTCTTTGAACAATCCTTGGCCATGTGGCCCTTCTGTCCGCAGTTGAAGCACTTCCCCTCCTTCTTCATTCGATCGATGTCCATCGGCTTTCTGGCGCCGGTGTAAGTGGTTCCTGTCCCAGTCTTCTGAGTGCCGTAGTTTGTCGTCGTGGGAGTTCCTGATGGTTTCCCGGCAGTTTGCCCTGACTTATTCAGGGTTGGCGGTGTCGACTTCTTGCTGCTATACTCTTGCAAGGTCGATGCCTCCGCTTTCTGCCTTTGCCTCTCCTTGTACATTTTGACGATCCTTTCCTTCCATTCGTCGTAGCCAATGGGCATTAACATCTTGACGCCCATGGCTGAGATCATCGTAAGGTACGAGGATGGAACTCCCCGCTTGAGGGCTTCCACCATCCTTCCATCATTGGCGACATCTTCCCTGATTCCTGCGAGTTTAGCGAGCCGTTCCAACTCATCGAAGTAATCGGTGGCCGCTTTATCTCCCATCTTGTACTCCTTGATCTTCTGCTTATGCACTTCTTGAACAGCAGGATCAATGAATTTGTCGTTGAGCATGTGTTTAAAGACCGGCCACGAGGGATATCGGTAGTGGTCCCTAGTGGTGGATCGGAAGTTCGGGGAGATGAGGATCTACCACGTCTTGGCCTTGTCTTCTAGATAGGAGGTGGCGAAGGCGACCTTATTCATGTCGGTTCCGATGTACCCGATGTAGACTTCGAAGTATTGTTCGCAATCTACCAGGAACCGGTCAATGTCGTCTGAGACCCCTTTGAAGGGACGTGGTTTTCGGAGGAGGTCGGGGTGGCACTGTAGGACGTTGGCATTATGCGGAAGCGCCCCCATCGGGTTGGGCCATCCATCGAATGGCGGTTGCTTCCATTCTATGGGTGGTCCAGGGAAAGAATGCAGGGAATTATCGTCTGCGACCGGACTCCCTTTCGGGTCGGTTACTTGAACGATTACTCCGTCTCGTACTGTGAATCCGAGGCGGACTGCCTCGGGATCGTCCCGGATGGGATCCTTTCTGCTTGATTCCGCTTGATCCGGAGGGGGTTGTCCACCGAGGAGACGACTTCCTTTGCCGGTCCAAGGGTTTTGAGCGGCTTGCCATGCCGGTCGATTTCTTGTTCGGATGAGTCGTGAAGCCGTGCTTCGGATTGACGGGTTGTCGTCGGCCCGACTCCGGATAGAGGGGGCGACGTAGACGGCCCGTCTTGGTGGTATGGGGGGAGTGCGCGGCATTGGTGCCGGTGTTCTTTGTTTATCGGGCCGATACGGAGGTATCGGCATGAGGGGGTCTTCTGGGTGCTGTCGCCCGTATTCCCTCTATGCGTATTCTGTCGTGGCGTACTGTAGAATTTTTTCTTTTTCAGCACCTGTTGCATACCTGTACTCGAGTCCTAAGGACATCGCTTGCCAGCGCGCGTCCTGCCATAAGTAATTCCTCCCCTGCTCATATAGCTCCTGATATTCCTTGCCCCTGGCCCTCTCAATCTCTTCTCACAATGCCTCTTCATCTGTATCTTCCCCTGCCCATTCCAGTCATCGTCGATATGGGTCATCACTGTCCTCGTCCTCTTCCTCGTCGCCCTCGTCCCCGCTGTCCTCTTCCTCGAGGAGGGAACTGACGGGCGGGTCGTAGATGGACGGTACGAGAGGACGAAGGGTCATTGGAGACCCTCCCGTTGACTTGGGTACTGGGTCCGTCTTCTCCTCGGTCACTGATTCGGGTAATGGGGGGACTCCTGAGCCGACTGTAGCGCGTTCCTCCGTGCGCTCTTGTCTCCTCCAGTTCTCGGCTATAGCGGCTGAAGAGTCGCTGGAACTCGGGATTGAGAAACTGTCGAGCGACCCTGCTACCCAGGAATCGCTGGAGGGCCCTGTCGGAGATGTGGGCATTGTCGGGTACTCGGAGCCCGTAGGCTCTGAGGACAGAGTCGGCGTCGGACGAGATGGTATCAGTGCGGGCGGGGTACTCGAGGTCGACGGTTCGGGGTTCTTCTGCTCTTCCTCGTCTAATGGCCTCGTCCCAGCTGACGATACTGGCAGGTCCCGTCCATGGGTCGTCCTCGGAATCGGGCTCTCTAAACGGGGACCCGGAATCGGTACAGAGCTCATACTCCCTAGGGGAGGCTGAGCCCATTCTTTCGACCTCTTCTCTCCTTCTCTGTGCTCGTCCCTGTCGGTCGTATTCTGCGGCTTCATACCGCTCGCGGGCTTCCTCTCGGACGTAGTCGGCGAGCTCTTCCTGAGTTCGCCTGATTGCTTCTTCTCGTTCTTGATTCTGCTGCTGCCTAACTGTCTCATCATAGTCGAAGGGGATGTTAAGGTCCCACTCCGGGAATATCCTCTGTATAATTCTTCTCGTAGTGGCTCTCCCCCTTTCGCTGGCGGTTCCGACCTCGGGCTCGCTTCCCACGTGGAGGTGGCGATATGGATCCCCTGCTGTGGAGATGGCGATGTCTGCGTTGTCGTAGTCGGGATGAATGTCCCTCTCTCGTGGGTTGTCGACCCCCAGCCTGCTGACGGACGGGCTGGAACCGGAGTTTGGCTCTGTGGGGGTCTCGGGGGGGTTCTGGGCGGGGTCGGGACTTTCGCGGGGTCCCGCAGCCATCCGAGCGGCATCAAGGGAGTCCCGAGCATGGTTTCCAATCCCCGAGGGAATTGGGGAGGCGGGATGCTCGGGGGAGCCTGCTGGAGTGACGTAGTTGGAGACCTCGGCGGGCTCCTGAGCGACGTTCGTCGTCCACGGGTTCCGGAACCCTGTGAGAGCAGGGTGGCGGTCTCCGATGTGTCGTCGGGGGTGTTCGGGTCCTTCCTCCTCGTGAAGGCTCCTCTGATCTGGGTCGCGATTCCCGGCTTCTGGTACGGGTCCCCCTTGCGGGAAGAAGGACGTTCGGGTGGAGGGGGGGATGTCATGGAAGGGTAGATCAGGGGTTACGTTGCATAGAATTTGTTGGATATGTTGGAACGCTTGATAGTGCCTGACTATCTAAGCTGCTACTGATTGTCGTCCGCGGCAAAGGGTGATAATGGCTAAGAGACCGAGCAATGTTCCGATGATGGAAGCTATAAGCTCGAAGAAGTCGTGATTAAGGTCGGCGGTTGTTACTGGAGGCATTCGGTTTCTCAGCACAATTGGGCTTGAGAAAGGGAATGAGGAAGCTTCGAGCTAATTGTTAAGCCCAAGCGACACGTGATCTGACAACACGTGATAGACGACATGTCCCTTCGCACTTCGAGGGATCACACGAATTCACTTGTGATGTTGCTCTTGTTCGGTGTGTCACAAGGCCACGTAGTGGCTCGAGAGTAGGATGGTATAAGTATAAACTTTAGCTCGAAG